TGCTGCTTCCTTGATCATTCTCGTGTCTGCTTGTGCACGCTGAACGGGGACTGACACTTTGTTTTGTGGTTTTTGTGACTTTTCTGTTCTCTTGATTTGTTATTGGAGACTCAGACCACTACTGACGGCGACGTTGGTACGCCACTCTCGGCCCTTGCTTTTGCTCTGCAAGTGCCTGTTGTAGCCTCTGCAAGCGATGGCGGTCGGGCCACATTGACCCAAGACTCGCTGCTAAAGCTGCTCAACTCTTGCCAACAGAGCATTGTGCGGTTGCTTGGATCGCTTCCCTCGACACATCTAGGCGAGCCTCTGTTGCACAAGAAGCTGACTTCTGAGCACCACGTAAGCTTGCAATGCCGCTTGAGTCCTTGGAGCAACAACAAACAACAAAAACAAAAAAAACGGCGTCAAACTTTCTCACTCCACCAATCACAGGCCAGACTCACCCGCATCAATCAAGATCTCGAGCAAGAATACACCCTTCGACGACGCATGCTTTTGAAGCGTCTTGATGTGACTGTGCAGTCCTTCGAATGGTCGACTCGCGCCCAGGTAATGCGAGCATCTCCTCGTTTTTGTTTTTTGTTTGTTTGTTTATCTTGCCGCCTCATCTCTTGCTCTCAACCCCATCACACAGAGCAAGCTTGACGCCCTGCAATCCGCCTTCCAAACGCAGCGCACAAAGCTTTCGCCTGTCGCGCACATCGATGTCTACGCCGTGTTGGCCGCTCGATCAAACCTGCTTCGCATCACCAAGGCCAGCGACGAGTCTACTCGTCGTAAGGTCCGCTCGTCGTTGTACCAAGTCGTCATGGGCAAGGTGCCCGACCGTGGTGGCCGTGCCAAGGAAGCCCGCGGCGCGCGCATGCCTGCCTTTGCCAAGCGCGATGCTGCCGTCAGTGAAGCATCGGGTTCTGGGTCCCGCGGTGGCCACCGAGGACAAGGACAGGGACACGGACAAGGCGGCCACAGCAAGCACGGTCACAACAACAACAAGGGCAAAGGTGGTCGGCGCTGAGTGAGCATTCTGATGTCTGTCGCTTGCTTTCAATACAGAATTGCATAAACTAGTGCAACAATTGAGCTTGAAGGGGAGCGGGGGCGGGGGTTCATGGCCAAAGTAGCATGGACTCGCATTAACTACAACACGAACGCAAAATTTTTCCCCAGTCTTTTCTTTCAGTCTCAGAAAAATGGCAGTCGCATTCACAGACGACGAAGCGCAACTCTACGACCGGCAAATCCGTCTGTGGGGCTTGGACGCCCAGAAGCGGTAACACACGCTAAATCACGATCTATTATTTTAGGATTTTTCTCCAAATCTGAGAAGCTGATCCTAGATGCTTTTCCCTGACCCCCGTTTCCCAGGATGCGATCTGCGCGCGTGCTGCTCGCGGGGCTGACTGGACTCGGCGTCGAGGTCGCCAAGAACATTGTCCTTGCTGGCATCAAGTCCATCACGCTGCTGGACGGCGCAGTGACGACCGACGCCGACCTCACTGCTCAGTTCTACTTGGGCGTCGAGTCGCTCGGCCTGAACGTAAGCCATTCCCCCAAAACCCGACGCCAGAGTTCGATATCAAGGGGGGGGGGCTCTTTGATTGCGAGCTGGACGATCCGAGTCCAGTGGCGGTGGCGGGATGCTGATGCTCACGGTTTTGCATTGGGGTTTGCATTTGGCTTTACTGTGTTTGGATCAGAGAGCGGCTGCTTGTGCACAACGCGTTCATGGTCGCCGTCGTTGTCGATGAGGAGAATCTCGAAAGCAAGCAAGACAGCTTTTTCAGCCAGTTTGATATCGTTTGCTTGGTTGGAGCGCCGCTCAACACGATGGTACGAATCACACTCACACATCGAGACGTGTGTCTTGCTCAAGCATAAGCACTACAAACCGAAATGTTTGTGCTGTGATGCTACTAACGAGAACGCGGGCTTTTGCTCCTTGGCTCGGGCAGATCTCCGTCAATGATGCGTGCAGAAAGTATTGCGTCAAATTCATCGCTGGCTCGGTTTACGGCCTTTCCGGCTTCTTGTTTCAGGATTTGTTGGAGCACGATTACGTCGAGTACGTTTGCTTAGGCACAGAGAAGCGCGGGGTGATGATCCACTTTCACTGGGACTTACTGTTTTTTCACTTTGATCCTCGCCAATTGTACACTCAGAGACGTTGTTCGCGCCCCTGGAGAACCACCGCAGGTTGGAAAACACGAAACTGCTCAGCAGGCACTCGATGCTGCCAATGAAACAACTGCCAGCCAATTCCATTCGTCCTTCACGCCATTATCTGCTGCGTTGTCTGTCGCATGGTCTGATGCCATCGCAGCCAAGCGCATCAAGCCCGCGCCCAAGCTGTGGTTTGCCCTTCTCGGTATGATTTGTGGTCGACGATCGCTGATGGTCAAAGCCTGGCTTTTTTGACTCCCGTCTTTGCTTTTTTTTTTTTTTTTTGTATTTGGTTCTTGTTGTTGTTGTTGGTTCGAGCAGCCCTCTGGCAGACACAACGACAGAACATCGAGCTGCAAGCCACCTCCGACCTGCTTGCCAGCGCTGGCATTCCATCGAGTGTCTTGCCACTCGATTATTTGAGGTAGGCGCGATGATTTCCAAAAATGACACAAAAAATTGGTCAACTTCTCTTTCCCTCACACCCACCCCGCTAAAACCCTTTGCAGCGCATTCTTCCAAAGCATTGGACCGGAAATGAGCCCTGTATCTGCGATCGTGGGCGGCGTGTATGCCCAGGAAGTTCTGAAGGCAGTTTCTGGCAAAGACGCCCCGCTGAACAATGTCTTTTTGTTTGACGGAACGGATGGCGCCGGCTATGCCACCCGCGTGTCGCTTTAGTTTGCAACAGTAGCAAAACAAATAGTCCATGTATGTTATTAACCAGATAACCAAAATAAACAGCTGTGAAAAAAACAAAAACTACTCGTCGTCGTCGTAATAGCGGTCGCCGTCGTCGTCCTCTGCTTCCATGCTGTTGCGGCGTGAAAACATTTGAGCGTACTCTCGAGCAGCAACGTCGTCGCCGATCGATGCAGTGCTCTCGGTTCGCATTCGACTTTGCTTGCCTCGGCGCAGCTGATCCTCATCGTCCACCTCATCGTCAACGTCCTCCTCTTCGTTGTCCGAGGTGGCCTCGGTTTTACTACTGATAGCCGGCACCGCAGAAGGGGCATTATCCATCTCTAGGGCCAGCCGCTTGCGGGGACTTTGCAATGCAGTCGCTGCGGCTGCAGTCGACGCGCTTTCGGCTGCGCCAGAGCCAGCACTCGCCTCCTCCAGCAACCGACGCTTGGTTTGCTGGCGCTCGGCTTTGCGCTTTTTACGCTCTGCCTTCTTGCTGATCGACGAAGCGGCGGGGTCCGACAGAGCAGTTGGCGCTGGCACGCCCAACGCAGCGGCTGTTGAAGCGGCTGCTGCAGCCACACGAGCTCGTGCGGATGCGTGCGGGGCAGGACCAGACAGCGGGACCTCGGGCTCGGCTGCTGGAGGCTCCAGACCCAAGCCGCGCAGGACATCGTAGTTGATCTTGTTGGACGATTTCTTCGGCACTGCTGCGGGACGCAGCGTCAAATCATGGGACTCTGTGGGCTCTGTGGTTCGTGGCTCGCGCTTTTTCTTTCGCTGTAGTTGCACAAGCAGCAACGTCGAAACGCATCGAAATGCAACCACATGCATTAGCAGTCGGATGGCGCGTAAAATCAATCAATCACTCATTTTCAACCATGCATACCTTAACGGGATCAGCCTTGATGGCGACTCCACGCGCCAAGTTATCAGCAATTTCCAGTTGTTTTTCTGTTTTTTTGACAAACACAACCAAACAAGAAACAAAAAAAAGAATCAGCCTCGATTTTGATTGGCAGAAGCAACACGTCGAAAACCAACAGAAATTGAAGCTTACGCTTTTGCTTGAGCAAGTAATCGCGATTGGCGTGGTGCCATAGTTTGGATTTGACGATAATTTCATCGCGCGAAAGCACCGCGGCAGCAATTTCATCGTCCTCAATAACTGTATCAAGATCTTCATCGCCAGCTCTTGCCTCGGGCCGATCAAACGCAGAGCCGAGCACTACCAGGGCGCCAGTGGTGGCTGTCAACGGCACCGACGGCGCTTGACTTGCGGGTGTTGCAGAGATGGCTCCGCCTGCTCGGAAGACGGCTGGCAGTGCGGAGCTGCCTCTTCGCGCGTGGCTACTCGCGGCTGCAGCCGCTGCGGTAATCGGAGTGGCTCGGAGTGCTAAGCAGGCGGGTAGAACGGCAAAAAATAGAGAGCGAGTGTCAGAAAAACAATCAGAACGAAAAAAATCATCGAACATCACATTACAGTACCTGCCGACGACGGCACAACAGGGTGAGCGTTCATGGGCCGCTCCACCGAGCCATCTGGGAGTAGCAATGGCTCGTCGCCGAGCACGGCGTTAATTTCGCTCTCGATTTGTTCAAGCTGCAGCATGTCAGCGTCCTGTTCTGCGGGCATGATGGCCTTTTGACCGGACTCGATCGCTGCCAACCGCTCCTTTTGCTTTGCCTTCTTTTTGGCAGCAAGAAACGAGGGTGGATCGCACTCGTGTTCCAAGTCGATCGTGTTGAACTCAACCGTGGTCAGTTGACCCGAAGGGGTTTCTTCAAACTCCTCGAGGCTAACCAGTCAGAGACAAAAGGAGTCAGCAGTTCACGGATGAGAATCGCTGGTGACGAAAGCAATGTGTAAACCCAACCAAGGCAATGTGTAAACCCAACAAAGGCCTCACCGTCGTCGAAGGGTCATATCGCAAATGCGCACGACGTGAATAATTTCTCGTTGCGAGCGGGAGAAACCATGCATACGGGCGGCCAACAAGATAGCTGCCGTGATCATCAAGTCGCTATTGAGTGCACAAACTCAAATCGCTCAAAGAGAAGCTCAGTTGGAATCGATACTCACCTGCGGCGCACAGACCGGCAGGGCGCCGACCAACTAGAATCCAATCACGCTTCATGCGCTGGACAAGACGAGTGGCTGTCCGCGAGACTTCGTTTTCTTTGCTTCCAAACTCGAGCATGGAGACGAAGCGAAGAATGAGGAGCGAAGGATCTGGTTTTCCGATTTTTTTTTTGTCGAGGGACGGGTGAGAGTGTTGGAAAACGTGTAAACAAGATGCACCAGGCCATAGTTGGCATACCAACAACGGGGACAGTCTTGTGCAGGACTTTGCACAATTGCGAGTACGTGTTGCCCAAAACAAACACGTTGACCTGCAGAGCGACCAAACAAGAAACAAAGCAGTGATTGAGTTTCCGTTGGAATTCAAAACAGCACAGGCGTTCAACAATGGAAGCAAAAGTCGTACCGAGATAGCATCAGAAAAGTCGAGCATCATGACTGCGGATGGAGAGTGAAAAACAAGCGGCAAGAAATCAGAACCCTCCACACACACACATTGGGCTCCGCAGCATCCTCCAAGAACAACACAAAACAATCCAAAAACAATCCAAAAACAACAAAACTCACTTGGTGATTGATCATGACGACAAACCAGGTAAACACAGGCCGCCACAACAATCAGCGTCTTGCGGCCTTGGATAAAGTTGCGGTCGACGGCCTCGCGGAAGACGCTGTGCGCCATGTCCGTGTAGTGTGCGTTGAGCTGCATGTTACTGACCATCTGCTGGATTTTCTTTCGTCCATTGGACAGGGTGGACTCGCGAGAATCGCGTCCCAAACCGTGCAGACCCGGTCCCGATGAGAATGGCTTTGTTCCTGAGCACGCCGTTCAAGCCAGCCGTTCAATCCACCCCATTTGCTGTTAGCTACAAGTCATAGTCTCTTATTCATCATCCCAAAGGGAACCTGTCAAAGGACCTGTCAAACATTACCTTCATTGGAGACATATTGGCCGACAACGTTTGCCGAGCCGCTGCTCGAGTCTGCAAAAGTGACTTCGGATACGATTGGATTATCTTCGAGCACCTATTCCAACAAACATTGCATGAACGAGGGTGAGTGCAGGAATGACCGGGGCTGGGCTCTATGGGCAGAACGCGAGCGCCGTGTGCGACCTGCCGACGTCGCTCTGGTCCTGACGATCAACCCCACTCTCACTCAATCACACGTTGCAGCAACATGCGCGCCGCGGGTACGGCCGGAGTCGGGAACAAAAGTCGGGGGGAGAACGAGATGGCGGGAAAAAGAAGCTTACCACGCCACACACTGTGCAGACCGTCTGACCGCCCTCAATGGTCTCTGCCTGGCCACCGCAGATGCACAGCATGACTGAGTTAACAAAGCAAAAAAGAAGAAGAAGAAAACGGGAGTTTTGTTGTTTTGGCGTCTGGAAAACGAGAAACGAGAGAATTTGGCTGAAAAAGCTATCAGAAAAAAAAAAAAAAAAAAAAAAAAAGACTGGAAAATTCGAATTTGGCGGGAAATTTGGTTTGGTTTGTATGAGCAAGCATTGCGTCAGAGACCGAAGAGAGGGCTCAAATGGTCGAACGAGAGATGCTCAAATGGTCATGCGGAACAAGAGGCTGATTGAAAGGGAAATGCTGGATTGGGGGGAAAAAACAACACGAAGAAGAAATCCTCCGTCTCTGAGAAACTGGACGAGCTGAAGCAGAACAAAGAAGCAAAAATGCAAAGGTGATTACTCGCTGTAATGTTGCAAAAAAAGAGAGAGCAATGTGGAAACACGCGGCGAACGAACAAAAGCGACAGCAAACGAAACACACGCTGGCTAACCAGTTTTTGTGTGTTTTGATTCCTACTGCGCGCCGGCGTCCTCCTCCTCTCCCTCAAACGCGAGACGGTACTGGTTTTTAAGAGAATGGAGGTTTTGGCCGGTGGCGGGATCGACCTCGACGTTGCACATGGCGTCAATCAGGTAGCCGATCTTCTCCGAGTTGCCGGGGCGGGCGAGGGCAGGAGCAAGTTGGTTGAAAATGGCAGCGCGGGACAGCGGCTTGTACGCAACACGGCTGAACAGGAAGGGCAGCACGTAGTCGACGGTCAGCACAAAGTCGTCGTCACGCTCAGCGCCGTGAATCGGGAACTCGAGCTGCTCGACGTTGTGCTGCTTCCACAGCTGGTCGTTGTGCAGATCGATCGCGCCAGTCTCCTCGTCAAAGTCGGTGAAGCCGAGGTACTGGTCGCACAGCTCGTTCTCCTTCTCGGAGGTGATTTCAACCTTCTGGAAGTTGGGCTGGTTGCGGTCGACGAGAACAGCTCGGACGCCTTCGGCAAAGTCGTTGTTGGGCAGGGTCTGTGTCGAAGGAGGGCAGCGTTGAGAGTGAGGGGGGAGGAAGCGGGATGCAAGACAGGGGAGAAGCATCAAATCAAACCACCTACCAGGAACTTTTGAACGAGGCCGTACTCGAGACGCAGGGCGTCGCGAAGAGTGTCAATGTTGTGGCCGAAGGTGATTTGGGCGTTGGTGAGCTGTGTGTGAATGAAAAAGTAAACAATACCAACCGAGTCAAAAAGATTGTTGGGACCAAGCAGACAGTAGTAAAGGCCGAGTCAACATACCATCAGTGCGGTAGGTGACATCTTGGCGAGGGTGGCAAGGGTGGTGGTCGCCCAGGCGTTGCCGTTCTTGGACTGCGAGCCAGAAATTTAGTCAGAGCCATTGTTTGAGACAGACGGAGATCAGGATCGTGCCAAAGCTCTTACCATTTCTTCCAGGTTTGCCTTGATCTCAGCGACAGATTGGTTGCTGAAGACCCTGTTATTCAGAAAGAAGGCAAAACCATGTGAGAATGAATCAAAAAGATCGAGCGCGGAGCAGAATGCCTGACGCAATGGTTTGTGACTTACTCGTCAACGTCATTGCGAGTCGAGAAGAGAGTAGACGCGGCTAACGTGGCAGACAAGGCAAGTCGAAGAACATCATTGAGCAACAATTGCATTCGCACAAGAAGAGAAAAAAAAAAGGAATGGGAGATTTCTTACGGAGTGGGGCAACAAATTCACCGATGCAGGCATCGACAGATTGAGGATCGGTTTGGCGCAACTCGCCGAGACGAGTCAACAGGGCATCGAGGCGGTTTGACGGAACGAAGTGGGTGGCGATACCAGCGTAGCTGAAATGAAATTGTGACAGCAAAAGAAAAAAAAAAAAAAAAAAAAAGTCAGTGCGAAGAGAAACGCAGGTTGCTCTTCAAGCACGCCAACAACATACACAACATCAGCACCCTTGAGGCGGTGGCCAGTAAGAGCGAGGTAGCGGCCGAGCGAGCCATCGAGCAAGGGGAGGAAGTGCGTGCCACCGACGTCGGGGGTTTCTGGAGATGGAGGCGTATTGTTAGGTGAGCATGCAGTCAGCTAGATTGATAATCGAACAGGAGGGGACATACCGGGCATGGAAAAGACAGTGTTTTCAGTCGCAACGCGGAACATGCCGTGGACCGAGATGCCGACGCCACCGCCCACTGCGAAACGAACACAAGAGGTATAGGTGTGAGGGCGTGCATCAATTAGAACTGAGGAAGGGAGCTCTGTTGTTTCCCCGCTTGTCAACAAAACAAACAAACAAACACGAAAACTCACTGGTGATGCCGTCCATGAACGTAATCACGGGCAGACGGTGGGTGGAAAGCAAGTAGTCAAGCTGGTACTCTTCGCGGAAGAAAGCCAGGGCGCTGGGGACATCGCCAGCCTTGGCAAGCTCAACAATGCCTTGAAAAGAGAATTGAAAAAGTGAGCTGCAAAGAAATCAGGAACGCTGAATCAAAACAGAAGAGCTTACGGCGAACATCACCGCCAGCACAGAATGCCTTTGGCGAGGACGAGCGAAGGACGAGCATATCGTAGAGCGTGTTCTCGGGTACATGGGTAGCCTGTTTGTTGAAAATGAATGCAAGGTAAGCGGATTGAAAAGGGGAAAAAATCCCCTATTGTTGTCTGTGCTTCCTTACGACAGCGACTTGGTACATGCTGCGGATCATGTCCAGAGTGAGCGCATTGAGAGCCTTGGGCCGGTTGAGCGTGATGACTCGAGCACGGCCGACGCTGGATGTGAGGACGAGATCCTCGGTGGACGCGGCACCAGCAGCCACCGCCGCAGCAGTCGTGTCCGCATCCGCAGTAGTGGAAGCAGCATTCGCTTGGGTCGTCGGTGCCTTGGAGAGGGCGATCGCGGGAGCAGCAGCAGCAGTGCTCAGAAGCATGTGCTGGTGCTGGCGACGAGCGGCCGCAGCGACTGCATCGCGCCGAATGGCAGATCTGGCAATGTGACGAATCACACACACAATAGATGAGTATTCAAGAAGCGAGCAACAGGTTGGAGGAGGGACGAAGTGAAAGCTGGGGAGAAGATGATCCAATGCATTTTGTATGGATCCCTCGCCTCGACGCTCTCACACGGCAGCAACCATTTGGGTAATGCAATGCATTGGTGATGGATTGCAGTCCATCATTGAAGAGCAATGGACGTCGGAGTCGTGGTACTGGTCAATGGTCAATGTTATGGGCGCAATGCAATGGAGAACAAGCACCACAGTCACGGATGGACCTGTTTTCACTCTTCTTCCAAACTCACCGGCACAGAGCGAGAATGCGCATCTTTGAAAAAACAAGCAAAAGAAAGAAAAAAAAGAAGTGAGCATCAAAAGAAAAGACAAAGAAAAGAAATCAAGGAAAACTAAAAAGAAGCAAAGAAAAAAAAAAAAAAGGCGGGAAAAGTTGTATTGAGTTTCCATTACGATGGTTGTTTCTATTGGATTTTCCATTACGATTGTGCTTTCTATTAAAGAAGAGACAAGCAAAGAAATCAAGGAAATCTAAGAAGAAGAAAAGAAAAGAAATCAAGGAAAACTCAGAAGACAAGGAAAGAAATCAAGGAAAAGGCGGGAATAGTTGTATTGAGTTTCCATTACGATGGTTCTTTCTATCGGATTTTCCAGTACAGTTGTGCTTTCCATTGAGTTTCCATTCCAATTTTTTTGAATTCTATTCATTTTGATTATTTTCTGTTGAGTTTTCATTGCGAAATGCGATCTGAGAAACAAGCAACAAAGGCTCAAAAAACTCAGTCTTTTTTTTTTTTTTTCTATTGAATTTCCATTGCAGTTTTTTTTTTCTATTGAATTTCCATTGCAGTTGTTTTTCTATTGATTTTCCATTGCAATGGGCGCCGATGTTCTGCCGCCGTCCGCAACGAGCACTGCCGCAGTCGCAGCGCCGTCCAAGCAGGAGCTGTACATGCTCGTCGTCTCTGAGATTGCCGCGCGACTGGTGCAGGCGTGCGACGACGGCACAGAGTTCAACCTGAACAAGCTTCGCCAACAAGTAACAACCGAACAAGGCACACACACACACCCGCCGTGCGTCACAAGTCAATGAATATGAAACAGAGAGTCGCTGTGTCTCTTTGTGGAGGAATGAATGGAACCGGAAAAACGCGGCGGAGAACGTCGAAGCATATGGACACTCGTGGGCACTTTGAGTACAACGAGGCGAATCACTCGGGAAGATGATGGGTGATGGATGTAGTATCATGCAGTAGTATTGAGCATTGAGAAGATAGTCATTCTGATGGAGAGCCAGTTCGAACTGAGGTTTGAAATGGTTTCGACTGACTCTGAGCAACAAAATGTACCAAAAGCATATCGAACGGACCGGGAAGATGTGATTGAGTTAGGATCACGAGTATTGAGCATTGATATTCTAATGGAGTTAGTCCGGCGGTGGGGGGGGGGGAAAGGTGTGTAGTAACGCCTTGGACTCTGACGCAACCTACACTCGCATATTTCTCAGAAGAGAGATGCTCAAGCACTCAAATCACTCACTCACTCACCTCTCACCTGTTCATTCATTCTGAAACTAACCAATCGAAAGATGGCGCTCAAGTACCGAATTGCAGGAACACCAAAGCTGGTCGATATCATTGCTGCCATCCCGGCTTCACACCGCAAGCAGCTGTTGCCAGTTTTGCGCGCCAAGCCAATCCGTACTGCCTCGGGTGTAAGTTCATCGTGAAGCTCGTCTTGAGAGCATGCCTATTGCTTTTGGCTCTGTTGTATTTGACTTTTTCTGCTCGTGTTTTTTTTTTTTCGTTTTTTTGTTTTTTTTTTTTTTGTATTTCCTTCCGATTGCAGATTGCAGTGGTGGCAGTCATGTGCAAGCCTCATCGGTGCCCGCACATTGCAATGACGGGAAACGTGTGCACGTATTGCCCCGGTGGCCCCGATTCAGACTTTGAGTACTCGACACAATCCTACACTGGTTACGAGCCGACTTCCATGCGTGCCATCCGCGCTCGCTACAACCCATATTTGCAGACCCGGCATCGCGTGGATCAGCTCAAACGTCTCGGCCACAGTGTTGACAAGGTGAGTACACGCTGCCAAACATTCCATTCGTTGTTTTTTTTTTTTTTGTTTGTTTGTTTGTTTGTTTTTTTGTTCTTTTCTTTTCTTTTCTTTCTGTTGACTGTTGTTGCTGGTCGTGCCTGCATTTTAACACTACTCGCCTTACACCTCCGCGCTCTCTTAGGTCGAGTTCATCGTGATGGGTGGAACGTTCATGTCCCTCGACCCGGAATACCGCGATTACTTTATTCGCAACCTCCACGATGCCCTCTCGGGGCACACGAGCAACGACGTGGACGAGGCGGTGCGATATTCAGAGCGCAGCAACACAAAGTGCATTGGCATCACGATTGAAACGCGGCCCGACTACTGCCTCAAGCCGCACATCAGCTCGATGCTGAGCTACGGCTGCACACGTCTTGAAATTGGTGTCCAGAGCGTGTATGAAGACGTCGCACGCGATACCAACCGTGGACACACTGTGCGCGCCGTGTGCGAGTGCTTCCAGCTCGGCAAGGACTCTGGCTACAAGGTTGTGACCCACATGATGCCAGACTTGCCCAACGTGGGCTTGGAGCGTGATTTGGAAGGGTTTGTCGAATTTTTCGAAAACCCGGCCTTCCGACCTGACGGTCTGAAATTGTATCCGACGTTGGTCATCCGCGGCACTGGTCTGTACGAGCTGTGGAAGACGGGTCGCTATCGAAGCTATCCCCCGAGCGTGCTGGTGGATCTGATTGCCAAGGTCATGGCCCTTGTTCCTCCGTGGACGCGCATTTACCGAGTTCAGCGGTAAGTTGCAAAACAAAACAGCGTGAAGAGGATGGTTTTTTTTTTTTGGGGGGGGGGGTAAGGGAGAGGAAATATTTCACGGCGCTTACTTTTTTTTGTCTTGCTTTCACCGGGTGCAGTGACATCCCAATGCCGCTGGTCAGCTCGGGCGTTGAGCATGGCAACTTGCGTGAGCTTGCGCTTGAGCGCATGCGAGACCTCGGCAGTGAGTGCCGGGACGTTCGCACGCGCGAGGTTGGTATTCAAGAAATCCACAACAAGGTTCGCCCGTATCAGGTAGGAAGTGTGGAGTTGGTTGACTGGCTTCTGTGTGCCCTGTATTTTTGTTGTTGTTGTTGTTGTTGTTGTGGTTGTTGTTGTTGTTGTGGTTGTTGTTGTTGTTGTTTTTGTTGTTGTTGTTGTTGTTGTTGTCAACTCTGATTTTTTTGGTTGCCTTTCAGATTGAACTGATTCGACGTGACTATGTGGCCAATGGCGGCTGGGAGACCTTCCTCTCGTATGAAGACCCAGAGCAAGACATTCTTATCGGCTTGCTGCGATTACGCAAGTGCTCGGAGGCGACTTTCCGCCCCGAGCTCAAGGACCGCTGCTCCATCGTCCGCGAGCTGCATGTCTATGGCAGTGTAGTTCCAGTGCATTCGCGGGATCCGACAAAGTTCCAGCACCAGGTAAAGAACACATCGAGTTGTACACGTTGCCAGACTTGATGTTGCAGACCCTGACTGCTTTTTTTTTATTGGCGATGCTTGATTGTGCTAGGGCTTTGGTATGCTTCTTATGGAGGAGGCCGCTCGCATTGCACGAGAGGAGCACGGTTCAATCAAGCTGGCCGTCATTTCCGGTGTCGGCACGCGCGATTACTACCGCAAGCTTGGCTATGAGCTGGATGGGCCCTACATGTCCAAATCTCTCTTGTAGTGCGCCATTATTTGTGCTCGCGTTGAGTTTGCATGATGTCGTCAGAGGTGCTCCCAGCTCTTTGAGTTTTGTTGGTTAGTTGTTTGATTGTATTGTTGTTTAAAACGGCAACCCATTTTCCCCTGGGCTCTTTCCAGTTCCAGTTCCAGTAGAGATTTACGATTTTGGCTGTAATATCGACGGAAGCACGACTAAAAAGTGTGAGGAATACGGTGTTTTGGGATTTGGGATGTTACGCCCTCAAGTCGCGACTCCAACTCCTGTACACCAGCTCATGTTAGTGTACCAAAAATCTAATAATACAGGGCAAAATTCTGGCATGAAAACGGGACAGGTCGAGCGGAGGGGCGAGCTTGTTGCTGGGCGCTGCGACAATCGCCCATGCGCATTGCCACAGCATCGTCCTGTTGTCTTTTTCGACCGCCACTGTTTTTCGATCTACTTGAATAGTTTGTTTGTGCACGTGGAAGGAAGATAAACCGGTTTGGCCGATATCAATACCAAATTGATGTGCATGGTTATGTCAAAGTTATTTGCGACTTTGCGCAGAAGTCTATTAAATCGTGCAAATCACGAAATAACTGACTTTGAACATAACAACATACAGGAAAAGCTCTAGAAGGCTCATATGACGAAAGGGTGCCGTGTCTTGATGAGCAGTCGTCACCTCGCCGGCTCTGAGAATTTCGCTCCGACTGACCGATGCTTGACGTCGTCCTCAACGCCCGACAGCGCACATCCTCGCAACATATTTGACGTGCAACTAAATTTCGAATCAATTCGTGGTGGATTTATTGGTACGGGAAAGCGGGATACGGGAAACGACGTTGAGCAATTCGAACCCCTCAAATTGCAGCAACATGTTCAATTTGTATCGCAGAACAAAGTGAGGTTTACATTCCGAGAGATTCTGAAGATTACCATCAAGCTACTGGAAGCTCGCAGAAGAGGCAGACGTGCTGGGTCGAACTTGAGCTTGCCAACCCTGGGGTAGGACAGTTGCTGTTGAAACATGAACCAAAATTGGATTTGAGTTTGCTATTCAGTGCCTGAAAAGTGCCAGAGAGCGGATTATAGCTGTAACATTGATCTAATCAACCAAAGAGAAACTCACACTCGGTTCGGATTGTAGGCCAGTCTAAATCTGCCAGGATTCAAAACAATTCTCAGAAATCTTGCTGATGTCCAAAAGTACTCCAACAAAAGAAATCTACCAAAATCTGAGCCTCGCACTCTTGCTTGCGAGGAACGTCCTGGCAAAGCTCTTTGTTAGCACGTGGGACGCACAATGCAAGGCTGCCCCAAGCGCTGGTGCTGCCCCTGGTGGCGGTGGCGGTGGCAGTGGCGGTGCTGCTGAGTGCGACGGAGCGACCGTTCTGAGCTCGAGCGCAACCACAGGTCCAGGTGTCGCTGGTCTGCCTCCTCTGTCCAAGGCCAAGAGCAAGGGCAAGGGCAAGGGCAAGGACAAGGGCAAGAGCAAGAGCAAGAGCAAGGACGACCGAACCGCCGGTGCTGCGGGACTGTCAACCGGATCTCATACGATGAGTGACAGCGCTGCCACACCTGCCGCTTCAACCTCCGCTTCAACCTCCGCAGCAGCCCCAGCCACGATGACTGCATGGACGCACGATACTCGCTCGGGTGCAGCTCTGCTCGCGAAGCTTCCGCCAAAAATCTGCGAGAAACAGCGTCCCGAGATTGCCAAGGGGAAGCCGGAAACCTGGAACATTACTGTGCTTGGATCCATCATCCTGAACGTGTTGCCGCTCGGCGAGATCGATCGCAGTGCAGTCCGCGAGATTGTCAAGTATCGCAACGACTTTGCTCATGCCACGGCGTCTGAGATTACGCCGCTCGAGTACGCGAGAATCCGCGACGGACTGCGCGCAGCCCTCGTCGACAAACTGGCCACGGATGCCACCGAATTCGACGCCTGCTTCAACGAAACACTGCACAGAGTGTCGGCGCCCGCACCAGACGCCGTCGCGGCTGCAGAGCGCGAGAAGGCTACTGGCAACGAGCTGTTCAAGCAAAAGGCATTCGACGAAGCCATCAAGTGCTACACTGCAGCCCTCCTTCAAGTCGAGCATTATCCGTTCGAGCTTACTGCAATCCTCCTGACCAACCGCGCCACGGCTCATCTGAAACTCGCACATTTCGTCGAGGCCAAGCATGATGCCAAGCGTGCGCTTCTGCAGGGCACGCCGGCGTTCAAGGCACACCTCCGTCTGGCAGAGGCGTATCTGAAGTGTGGCAAGCACACCAAGGCCTGCAAGCACGCCGAATGCGCGTACAGTGGCTTCCAGCCGGGTACTGCCGAGAATCGCGTGGCACGCGAGCTGCTCGACAAGTGCCGCCTTGAGCGCGCCGCAATCGAAATTGGAGAGGATGAGCATTCCGCCTATTCCTGTGCATTTCAAAATGCCGCCGAGTCTCCGTTCCGCCAGCGAGAAGTGGCCCGAGTGGGCGGCCAGGCGAATTTCGATGCACTACAACGACTTGCTGCATCGCTCGGGACTTCGACCGCTGAATCGTCTGAGCTACCCTCGTCCTTTGTAACGGAGCTCCAGTTGAAGGTGCAAGCACACAAGTTGCGAGAAGATGGCAAGTCTGCACAGGCCTATCCACTCTTCCTGCGTCTGGCGCAGCTTGGCAACGCGGTTGGCATGTACTACGTTGGTGTTTGTCTAATGAAAGGGCAAGGAGTTGCTCAAGACATTGCGCAAGCAACTACCTGGTTTGAGAAAGCGACGCAAGTCCCGATTCGTGATGACGAGTTGTTCAAGGACCAAAAGATTGAGATTGGGGCCGCTTTTGTTGCGCTCGGCAACAATCACTTCAATGGTATCGGCTGCTCCAAAAATTTACGCTCGGCGTTAACCTACTACCAGCGCGCTGCCGCTCTCGAGGCGCCCACGGGCTACAACATGCTTGGCCTGTATCACCGGGAGGGCTTTGATGAATCGCCCATTAATCTCGCTCTCGCGCGAGATTACTTCCGCCTGGCGGCAGAGGGCGGCTGCACGGAGGCCATGAACAACATGTGTATGCTACTAAAACACAACGTGGGCCTGTTGGAACGCGCAGCACAGTGGGCAGACACGGCCCGAGCTTTCGGCGTTCCTGAAGCTGCGGCCTTGGCATCGGAGATTCGATCGACTATTCAACGAGTAGGCCCAAAAGCCCTTCAACAGTTTCAAGATTTCTGCAATATAATCCGTGGCTCCGCGATCCGCCGACTCTGCTACCGTTCAACCAGTTTCCCACGCTGGACGAGCTGGAGGCCATCGCCTCGCCGACTGTCTACCTGAGCAGTCTGATCAGTGCCAAGCGTCAGCTGATCGCTGCGATCGATGAATTTCGCAGGAACCCAGTGACAGCCGACAGCACGCGTCGACTCATTTCGTTGGCAGCGAGTGCCAAGCGCACCGTTGACGGCGAGCTTGTTTGTGATCCGGAAAGTGCGGCAGTCCTTCGAGTCATTCTCGAGCAGTCGCATCCAGACGAGACCTTGGAACATGACAGACGTACTCTGCAGTCTGGCACAGGGGTTAAGTACGCGATCTCCGCTGCCAACCAATACGAGGAGGACAGCTTCTTCAACCTGCGAGCCGGCTGTCTACTGATGTATGATTCCTCATACGAAAGCGTGGAGAAGGGGCTTCTCTACCTGCGCCGCGCCTTCCAGCTCGTGGCCACCCGTAGCGAGAACGACCTTGAGCGACTTGACGTGACATACTTACTGGGCGCTGCGTATCGGATTCTTGACAAACCCGAGCAAGCGCGCAAACTCTTCATGCAATTTCTCGAGCACAAGCACGTTGGTCATCGTAAAGTGAGCGAAGCGTACTTTCAGCTGGGAATCCTGGCTCTTATGCGCCATGATTCTGTCGAGCAAAGTTGTCGTGAAGCGCAAACGCTCCTCGATCTGGGCATTGCGGCACAGCACACCTTGCCGGGATTTCTGCAGCCACGCCACAAGGCACCCATTTGTGAGATGCTCGAGGACCTTTTGGCCATGTACGCCAAGCGGCACCCTGCCGCCCGACGAGTCATCCCCGTCCCTCAAGAGGGCGGCCATGTGTTGTCGGGGCCTCGTGATCCTGAAGCCCTAATGTCGCGTGGTCTCTCATCCAAGGTCCTTGAGGTCTGTCGCTCGCAGCGCTTGAAGTGGTTGAGGCAGATCCGCCACGACATGAACGAAGTATCGAAGGCGAGAACTGATCCTCGCAAGTCCGTGGCCTTTTTCAGACAAACAACAACGCCTGCCTCCGTCAGCGAAAAAGTCACTCCTGCTGAAACCTTGCCCCTGTCACCGATTCAAATTGACGAGATGTTTCTCCCTTGCGTCGAGAGGCTTTATCACAACCGTGTCGTTGAGTGCGTGATTGTGGGGAGCGGCTTTCGCGTGATCTCCGTCTCGTTTATTGTCGAAGACTCATCGCGAGCTCCGGCCATATTTAACATCTACAACCTCTCCATGGAGCAGGAGAGGTTGCTTGTGCCTGGCCGAGTTATCAAGATCATTTCTCCGTTGGCACGTGTGCCACAGTCGGGCCCGATGTGCATTCGTGTCGATGACCCTCAGCACCACCTGATCATCGGTGATCACATCCCGCTGTGTTGGTTCTGCCTCAAGCAGCAAGAACCCTCTCTACTCAAGGCGTGCGGACGATGCAAGCAGGCGAAGTACTGCTCCGAGACGTGTCAACGAAGCGACTGGCAGACGAACGACCACAAGTTTTTATGCACGGCGTCCACCCGTTGACACTCTGCATGTGTGTGTGTGTGTGTGCATGTGTGTGTGTGTGTGTGTGTGTGTGTGTGTGTGTGTGTGTGTGTGTGTGTGTGTGTGTGTGTGTGTGTGTGTGTGTGTGTGTGTGTGTGTGTGTGTGTGTGTGTGTGTGTGTGTGTGTGTGTGTGTGTGTGTGTGTGTGTGTGTGTGTGTGTGTGTGTGTGTGTGTGTGTGTGTGTGTGTGTGTCTGCTCTTCCCCCTCTGGCTGGGATTTTGCATTGTATTCCAGCAACCAATGTTTACTGTCTGTTTGTCGTCCATTTCATTTCGGTTCAGTCGTTGTTTTGCTTTGACAGAATTTCAACCATTCAGTTGCACTCGCTTCTGAGTCGTGCAGCAACATGGCAACCACCGCAGACCCAGAATTGCGGTCTCGGCGCGTCAATTACTGGCGGATGAAGTCTGTCTTTACATTTGCCGAGCTGGTGCTCCAGCGCCTGTTTGTCGCGACGTGAAACCGAGCATCTGAGACTGACGACCGCAACTGAACATGTCGAGACGAAAGAACCAATAAACCAAACCTAAAACCCCGAAAAAGTGACAAAATGCCATTGCGCCATCGTATTCGCCTCGGCTCGTTTATTCTTGACGTTCATGTTCATACTCGCCGAGCAAAGTGGAACGATGCAGAGAGCTTGGTCGCACAACTACGTGCGAGTTCATTCACTGAATCACTCGCCAGCTTTTGATCTACTTTGTGCTTTGTGCGGATGCCCGAGCTTTCGGAGTACGATTTTCAATGTGTTCAGAACAATAGGGGTTTTTCCATTCGCATGGATTATGCATATTGCCGTTCAATATATCCGACATGAAGCGACTCGAATCGCACACCGCGCGAAGACTTTCTGGGTTGAACGTCAACCTTCCAGCCCTCGCGCATTTGTCGCATGACAGGATGGTTGGCTGGCAGGATTGTCACACGCCTGAGAGTCGAATCGACCAAAGTCGGTTTCGCAGTGCATTCGTATCGAACAGCATCTTGCTCATCTCGGACAATCAATTTAACAACGCACTGCTCTGAGTCGTTGGCATCGACATGCTTCACGTCAAGAAGCACTTGAATTGCCTTTACACGGATCGAATTCCCCGTGCTGCTCGTTGGCACAGTGACGCTCAGACTATCAAAATAACAGGCTCGATTGGTGCGCTGCACGCCTTGCCAGTAACACGCTTCGTCCATAATGAGGTCGGCAATCTCAGTCGGCAGTGCCGGTAGAGATGCGAGCTGATTTTCCAACTCCGGTCCGCTGGTCAGCAAGCCAAATACGGTTTGAAGCTCGTCAGCAGTCGCCAATCGTGGAAGCAAGGAGAGTACAAGAGGGCTACATTGGTTGCCAATGCTGTACCATGAACAAGCAACATAAATGAGTATCAATCAGCAAGGGCCACTCCATCTGTTGAATTGAAAGCCAGCCCTACCGAAGAGCAGTCCGAGTGTGATGGAACTCGCGTGCATCAGCAATCGCTTGAATACCAACTTCGCCAATGCAATTCCATGACAGACTGTCGCTCGATCGGTGAGTAAGATGACGGCGTAGCAAGATATGGCTGACCCTGGTTCAATATCGAAGACGAGCAACCTACTTGAGCCATGCCAGCGTCTTGTTCACTTTGACCAGTTCCGCAAAAGCCTGCGCTCCAGCATCGCCAATCAGATTCTTATGCAGACTGTCCAGATTCCCCCTCAGTGAGCACTCTGCTCAATCACTCACTCATATGCATCGGTCCAAGTGAGATGCCTTACTCGAACTCGGTCACTGTCGTGTTCACTTTGAGCGCCTCAGCAACCGCGCTCGCTCCGGCATCGCCAATCTGATTCCTCCAAATACTGTTCATTCCTTCCAACAGTGAGCACTCTGCTCAATCACTCACTCATATGCATCGGTCCAAGCGAGATCATTACATGAGACGAGTCACTGTCGTGTTGACTTTGAGTGCCTGAGCAATCGCGCTCGCTCCAGCATCGCCAATCTGATTATCCCAAATACTGTTCATTCTCTCCGTCGATGAGCACTCTAAAATGCTCCTAACATTGCATCAGTCAAAGTGAGCTGCCGTACGCGATAGAGGTCACCGCCTTGTTTACTTTGAGTGTCTCGGCAATCGCGCTCGCTCCAGCATCGCCAATCTGATTCTGCCAAAGCCTGTTCATCCCCCCCCCCATCATCAGTGTTCTGAATACCCTCTGCTGAAATCACCCACTCACATGCACAAATCAAGTGAGGTGCCTTACTCGACCCTGGATGACAGTCCTCTTTTTCTGTGTTCCAGCGCCTTCCCACCAAAGCCCGAACACACACGCCCAACGTCAGCAAACCAACCGCCCAACGCCAACCCAGAAATGACTGGTCCGTCCAAGAATTCTGGGACTGGTCCAGGCCAACCCGCCATCGCGTCAGCGCTAGCGGCGGCCGCCCAACATCAACACGAGCAGGACTGCGTCCCCAGCAGC